TGCTTTTCATCGAAGAACACAAATTACTACCGCTGGTGCTCCTGCCGCTGTTGCTGCTGCTGCCCCGCTACTGCTGAGCAATACTAATTGACTGATTGACCACATGGTTAACTGAGACAGTTTTTTCTGCAACATTTTTTTGCCCTTCCCCTCTCTCGTTTCTCCTACAACCTTTCCACTAAAACTTCAGTTTAGTTAGGCAAAAAAAGTTCAATGGAAACTAAAATTTTTCTTTGAAAATTTTGTAACTTTCTAATTTTGTTTTTTTTTTTCTTCTTCTCTTTACATTATCTACACAAGAAGCTTTACTTTCAGTCTAATATATAGAAGGATATAAATAACCATAGGATAATGTTACATAGACATTTTGCAGTATATCTAAATGAAGTAGCTTCTTCTTCGTATCCTCCCCTCCACTTCTTGCTCGCTTTTCGCCTTCAGTTTTCCACACTCTTTCAACGCTTTTAACTTAAACATTGAAAACCCATTAGAACAAAAAGTTGTCCAATTAATTTTAAAGCATTCTTAATTTTTGATCTTTGTTTGCAATAAGAAGTAACCTTTTTTCTATACTGAAGAATTTAGAATAGTTTATGATGGCATATTATTGGAAGCAACAACATTGTACGTCATATATCATTATAGCAACGTTTATATTAATTGTGAACACTTCTCTAAGATAAACAAAAAAAAAGAAAGGAAAAAAACGTGAGATTTTTTCAGTTTTTCCTTAATTAATTACGAATTCCTATCAAGCAATGTAAAAGTTTACTTTTTTTGATAAATTTGCAGTAGTCACTGTAATTATGGGATTCGTTTAGGCTGGAAGCAATGTGATTTAGTAGCTCATACTGACATGAATGCTTCTTTTTAATTTGCAAACCGTCACTTTATTTGCGCATAATTTTGCATTTGGACTGATTATGAACAATGTTGGCACGCCACAGATTTATTTTTTAAAAAAATTGGATCTTTGCTGATACTTCAAAAAAAAAAAAAAAAATTTTTTTTGTGCTTCCCAAACGGAGAGTAAGCTGTTTTAAGGAATGGAAAATTTAGTCAACAATTGTCTATAGGCAGAAATTTGCATCAGAAAAAAAAGTTGAGTGATAACTCTTAATCAAATAATCCGTTGTTCATAGGGAATACCAATATTTTTGCACAAAAAGTACTCCATTTAAATCGATCAGATAAATAAATTGCCATGTTATATGTTCTTTAAATATATATATATATATATATATATATATATATATATCGTAATTTTAGATACTAAAAGTTACAGAACTTTTTTTCTATCAGTGACAATTTCAAAGAAATTATGAAAGCGAACAATTTTTTTTCTCAAGTTTTTTTGCCTCTGAAATAAATGTTTGGCGGACGCAATATTTATGGGTTTTAAAGGAAGAAAGAAACGAATAAGAAACTCACTTCTAATAAAAACAAAAATAGAGAAAAA